TGCGTGTCAGTTAAAGTAGTTCATGTTTCACCAAGCTTTTCTAGTGAATGATATTCATATTTATGGCTCTAAATCAATTTAATTATGAATTTACATTTCGTAACTAATGTAATGATATTTATTTGATATACTATAAATATTGGTATTTTTTTATCTATAATTGGTCAAACTTAAGATATTAAAACATGACACTGTGCTTGAATTGTATTTTATGTGGGACGGAGGGAGTCATTTTTCTTGATGGCCCATTTCAACAGTGGCGGTGCCCCCTGGTGGCCTGGGCCTTTGCAGCTCTGCCTGGCACCCCCTGGCGGCCTGGGCTCCTGTCACCCCGCCCCTGGCGGCCTGGCCCAATAAAAAAATAAGAAGCCTCTGAGACTCTGAAGTCTGAACTCTGGCCCTGGAATCATTACGTAGCACGGACGCACGGTAGCAGTCGCTAGTCGCCCCTCCGTTCGTGTCACTTCGTATTCTGCCGCCGCCAGTCAAAAAGGGCAAGGATGATGCCATGATGGAGCCATGCGCAGCAGCGTCTTTGTGGACTGTGGTTCGTTTGGTGATTCTGTGTTATTCTGTAACTTGTTTTCTCCTATCTTTATTTTTCTAGGCTATATATCTTGGGGATTTTTTGTTTATGTGTTTCATGATGCATGTACATGTGATTTTCTTTCCAATCCAATTGAATGTCTCAAAAGCGGATGGATTCTTGCTCCAAACTTTTTATCTATCGCTGCTGAGTTCTGTTCTTTTCTTTCTCCTGTGATATTCTCTTATCTAATTAACAATCACTAGTGATTCTAAATTTCACTTTCTAATTTTAGACAATATGAAGAAGAGAGACCATCAATAGCTTTTTTAAGCCGATTGGTTCAAGTGCTAATTGTATTGAAGCCATTGCAAGTCGAGGCGGTCAGAGTAACGTGCAAGTGGAAGCTCCTAATCTCGAAGGGGAAACTCATAATGATCATGTACAAAATCCTAATAATCAGAGTAATGTTGCTGCTACCGCTGAACCAATCGAAGCCGAGGTTGCCGAGCATCCACCAGTTGTTGCTACTAGATTTGAGAGAGAACCTGGTAAACGTGTTCAAATATTGGAACTGCCAGCTGATCAACAAGATGAAGCTCAGAGATTTTATATTTAGAGGGTCCATATCAACCTGTGTTGGCAAAGTACCCACTCAGTGAATTAGCTCATCGTCGTCGATTTCAGAGTAACTGGTTCAAGCAATTTACTTGGCTAGAATATTCACCTCATACAAATCGTGCTTACTGTCTGCCATGTTTTTTATTTTCCAAGAAGCCAATTGGGAAAGTTGGATCAGATACATTCATAGTAAAGGGGTTTCAGAATTGGAAGAAAGTTAATTGCGGAAATGAATGTTCTTTTCTAAAACACATGGGAGATGCCGGCTCAACCCACAATTATTCTGTTCGGTGTTTTTAATAATCTTAAGAACACAATGGTTCAAATTGACAATGTGATTGTTGAGCAAAAAGAGATAATGGTTGCAAAAGGAAGACGAAGGCTTGCGACTACGATTGATTGCATTAGGTAATAAGATCAATTTCTCATGTCTTTCTGCATTATTTAAATTTAACTTGCTTTCTTTATGTACTTATAGGTGGTTGACATTCCAAGGTTGTCCCTTTAGAGGCCATGATGAATCTCCAGATTCCTTAAACAGGGGTAATTTTCTTGAAATGATCAAGCTTTTGGCTTCCTATAACATGGAGGTTAATGAGGTTGTGTTGAAAAATGCTCCCAAAATGCAAAATACACTTCACCTGATGTCCAAAAGGAAATTCTAAGCATACTTGCTCGGAAAGTGCAGAAATCAATTAGAGAAGAAATTGGCAATAGCAAATTTTGCATAATGGTTGATGAAGCTCGAGATGAGTCCAAAAAAGAGCAAATGGCGATAGTCCTCCGATTTGTCAACAAGGAAGGCCTTATAAAGGAGCGTTTCCTTTGATCTGATCCATGTTAGTGATACTGCAGCTTTGACACTTAAAGAGTTCATTTGTGTTGTCCTCTCAGCTAATGGCCTAAGCACACAAGATATAAGAAGATATAAGAGGTCAAGGTTACGATAGGGCCAGTAACATGAGAGGGGAGTGAAACGGATTGAAAGCTCTAATTCTCAATGAGTGCCCATATGCATATTATATTCATTGCATGACTTATCAGCTTCAATTGGCCCTTGTAGCAGCATCAAGGGAGGTACATGAGGTACACAACTTTTTTCAGCATGCAAATTTCATCATAAATGTTGTTAGTGCTTCTCCTAAGCGCAATGATGAGTTGCTAGCAAAATAAGCAGAGGAAATTGCCCACGAAATTGAATTGTGAGAGCTTGACACAGGGAGAGGGCAAATCAGATTTTCTCCCTACAAAGACCAGGGGACACTAGATGGAGTTCCCACTATAGGTCTATTCTAAGCTAAAAGAAGATGTTTGGTGCCACAATATCAGTCCTACGCAGCATTGCTAATGATCGTTCAGTTTCGAAGTATTCTCGGGGAGATGCCAGTGGTGCCTTACGAATCATTGTCACATTTGATTTTGTGTTTATTCTACTCCTAATGGAAAAGATTATGAAGATCACTGATGTGTTGTGCCAGACACTCCAAAAGAAGAGCATTAATATCTTAAATGCGGTGGATTCTGTTTCTACCACAAAAGTGTTACTCGGTGAGTTGCAAAATAATGGCAGGGAACCTCTTCTTGAGGAGGTCAAATTGTTTTGTGGAAATCACGAGATTGATATTCTGGATCTGAGTAAGAAGTATGTTTTCCCTAAATTATTTATTCTTTTGTAAAATTGTACTTGTTCATCAATCAATCCATATCTTCCCATTTGTAGGTATGTTGATGTGACTAAATCTCGAAACAAGAATGACAACACCCACAACCTTTCACCATTACAAAGTAAATGTGTTTAATGTTGCAATTGATCAACGACTAGCAGAGTTAGAAGATCGATTCAGTTCTCAAGCGACAGAGCTTTTGTCCCTTTGTGCTTCTTTGGATCCTAGGCTGGACACATTCAACATAGACAATATATGCACTTTGGGACAAAAATATTATCTTGCTGATTTCTCAAGTCAAGAAAGAGCTCAATTGGAGTGTTAGCTGCCTCATTTTCAAATTGATGTATGCAACAGTCCAGAACTAAAGGAATTATCAACACTTGCTGCTCTAACAAGTGGACCATTTAAAACAGAAAAATATTCATCTTATCCTATGGTGGACAAGTTATTAAGATTAGTATTAACTCTTTCAGTATCAACTGCAACCACCGAAAGATGCTTTTCAGCTATGAAACTTGCGAAGACACGTCTCAGATGTACAATGGGAGATGGATTTCTGCGAGATTGTTTGGTAATTTATCAGTGCTGGCCCTAGGGGTAGGGCATAAGGTGCGACGAACGAGGGCCCAAGCGGATGAGAGGCTTAAATCTAGGTATACAAACCCTCAGGTCTTATAGTCTATTAGGCATTAGCAAACTAATGAGAAGAGAGACATAGAACTGACCAGACGACTAAAAAAGACAACATCGGTATTTCTTTCCTAGTTTCCTTTCCCCACGGCCCTCGGCTAAAGAGAAGGCGAGGAGTCACGCTGCACATAGCACACTCTGATCGTGAGTTCGCGACGTGCGCCTTACACACGCGGAGCTGGCGAGCCGTGCCGCCGTGAAGAGCTGGACTGCCGGAGACACGGACACGGCGCACGAGGACGGCGACTAGACAGGGCTTTACGAGGACGACATCTTGATTCTTGGCTTCTTATGAATTGCGATCACCGATCAGTTGTTTAGGTCCAAGGTATTTTTCCTTTTTATTTTTAATTCAAATTAATTATTCGTATAGTATTCCAGACTTCTAGTACTTTGTATCCATATAGTCATATTTTTCTTCTAATTTAGGTGTTAGAATTTTAGAATGTTACCTGAGAAACTTTTGTTATGGGTGAGAAAAGAAAACTAATATATTGCTTTTTTAATCTATATTGTTCCTCGATAATTATCATACATCTATAAATATATCGCTTAATCTGTATTGTTTCTCGATAATTATCAGACATGTTAAATTAAAAATATATTATTGAATTTGCTTTTATTTTGCAATTAAAATTAACGTCTATATATTATAAGATTTTATACCTAGTTAAGAAAGACCGTTGCGATGAGTTGGCCAGAGGGACCTTAAAATCGTAGAACCGGCACTGTAATTTATATTGAGAAGGAATTGGCTGCATCAATCAGTACTGATGATATTATTACAACGTATGATCTTGCTGCTAGTCGAAGAGCTAAATTTAAGATGATGGATATGTAATTTTATTTTGGTTAAGACTTGTGAAACATGCTATTATTATATCATTATATGTGACTAAAACCAGCTCACGTGGCTATCAATTCTACGTTGCTTTGTCCATTGCCCCCTTACCTCAAATCCTTGCTCCGCCCCTGCATTTCAATACATCTCCATGGACGTCCACCATCTCGTTCGTGTCATGGAGTGCGATGCACACGGGGACACAATCACGTCCACACGTATCGTCCGAGTTTGCAGTTTTGCACAAATGCGAAGAAGAATTGCAGGACCTGCCGGTAGCACTAGCACCTGTCAAATCGATATTTCCGGGTGGAAAAACTGCAGGACCCCTCCACAACTTTCACGCTTCGCATTTGCTTCGTATGGGGTCCCATGAGTCGGTGACACCAGGCTACGTGACTGCATGTGTGTGATAGTGATACTAATGCATTTCGCCCTGCAGATGCCCGCCATTAAGGCCATCTCAAAATTCAAACCGCGTCAAGCTTCCCCAAGACCCCAAACGAACGCCGGCGCTTCACTCATCGCCCGACCCGAACCAAACCCTGCAAACCCCAGCGGAAAGCCAAGGCAATCGGAGGAACGGATCCGCAAGTCCATTCCGTCCGTCGGCAGCAGCATGAGGGTACGGAGGCGGAGGCCGGAGTCGGAGGCGATGGAGAGCAAGGAGAACTCCGCGCACTCGGCGCCGCCTCTCAATAGGCCACGCGGCAAGCGCAAGGCCCTGGCCGAGCTCCCCACGTCCACCGGACCGAACACAAACCACTGCTCGGCGCCGCGGCCGTCGAAGCCGAGGACGCGGTCGGCGGCGCGGATGGAGGCCGAGGCGGAGGAGGCGAGGAAGCGGCGGGAGGCCGAAGACGCCGCGCGCGGGGCCGACTTGGGCCGACCGCTGGACCCGAGGCCGCCTGGCGCCGAAGCGGCGAAGGCGGCGGTCGCGCCGTACGTCGGGGACATCGACCGGTACCTCCGGTCGCTGGAGGTGAGAACCTCTCGAGAATCTCACCCTTTCCACTGGGTCTAGGAACCTGCGCGTGGGCGTGTTTAGTTCTCGGGTTTGGTTGATTTGGGTGTGAATGTGTGATCGTAGTTGTAGACGATGTCTGTAATGGGGCCATTTTGTAGGCATGGTCACGTTGTACGCTTGAGTGCTGAGATTTGGCCAGTTTGATTTTAGTGGGGACCATGTGTACTCTTTTTAATTTTAGTCGGGACTTGTGATGGCTAGTTTCACAGGTCGCGACACCTTCACAAAAGAAAATGACTCTTTGGAGCTCAATTCAATTATCTTAGCTTTTGTATGGAGATGTGTGAGTTTAAGCCTTTAAGGTGCCACTTGTCAAACTTTCTGAAACTGCTAGGTTGAACCGTTGAGGAGGCCAAGCCCTGACTATTTTCAGAAGGTCCAGAAATACATCTCCCCCAAAATGAGGGCTGTCCTTGTCGACTGGTTGGTGGAGGTGGCTGAGGAATTCAAGGTTCACGCAGAAACTCTTCACCTTGCGGTTTCCTATGTCGACCGCTTCCTCACAATGAATGTCGTTACCCGGGACAAGCTGCAACTACTGGGTGTCACTGCAATGCTCGTTGCTGCGTAGGGGACTCAACTGTTTGTTTCCTCCCTTTTGTTCATCTTTTAAAACTACTCTTTGAGTTGCATATTTCGAATGTCGCAGCAAGTATGAAGAAATTGAGTCTTCTAAGATGAAGGTGAACAGATACACTGATATCACGGATGACACTTACACCAAGCAGCAAGTAGCCTTTCTTCAGCTGAACTTTCAATTGCATAGTTATTTCTCCTGGACCGTAGAAGATAGATACACAGTTCTATTCTGTATGCAACACAGGTGGTGAAGATGGAGGCCGACTTACTAAAATCTCTTAGGTTTGAGATGGGGGGTCCCACTGTAACAACATTTCTACGGTATGTCTTCTCCATCAGTTTTTTTCGAGAATAGCATTTGACATAACTTCCCTTTGTATGTAAAATGCTTACCATATGAGAATTATTGCCCTATTGGACTTAAAAAGGTTCAGAGTCTAATGCTAGATAACTGTCTGTTTTAGGAAATTCATAGCTTCGTGTCGTGGAGGCAATGTAAGTTGTACTTTGGAGCACGTGCATTTACTTCTCTTAATGTTTTTTTATAATCTGTTTTTTAATTGAAATACAGAGTATAAACAGAGGAAAACTGGAGTCCATGTGTAGCTACCTTGCGGAATTGAGCTTGCTGGATTATGACTGCATAAGCTACCTACCCTCAGTAGTTGCTGCTGCATGCCTGTTTGTAGCCAGATTCACAATCCAACCAAAGACTCGTCCTTGGGTAAAGACAACATGGCCTTTCTTGCTAACTACACCCTCCGTCCCCCAAGAAAATATCATTCTAGTAGCTAGACAAACATTTGCTCAGATTCATAGCTAGGATGACATTTTTTGGGACCGGGGGTGTATCTGAGCTGTAGGCTTTTCTTACATCAGTGTGTATGGTTCTCTTTTCTGACTTTAGTGTGTGTAATTCTGCAGAACTTGACACTTGAACAAAACACGGGGTATAAAGTCTTTGATCTGCAGAAATCCATTAATGTCATACATGAATTGCAGTTGACAATAAGGTGCCCAGAGCAGGAAGCCATCAGAGAGAAGTACAAGGACCCCAAGGTACATCCATTCTCTCCATTTTGTTGCTATAGTCTACAATTTGTATTCTGTTAAAATCTGTTTGCTTGAACATTTTACAGTTTGGGCGTGTGTCGACAATGGCTTCACCACGAGAAATCCCTACATCTTTCCTTGAAGATTGCCATAAGTGAAGTCTGGACTCTGAAGAATGTTTTTTGCAAGAATGCTGCAGGCGATGCAGAAACTAGCTTGATGGTAGGATAATTTAAATAGGTCGGGAATGTGCCATGCCCAGCGTTGTAGATTGCTGGTACTGGTCTCAGTTTCCATCCCATTGGCAATGCTGTGCATTGGTATTTTGGTACAATGTGCAATTGATGGCTTTTTGTACAGGGGTTATCAGTTAGCACTAACCCATGACATGTAAATTATATATATAATAATACAAGCCAGCTTATTTCTTAGCATTGTATGCACGTTTTACCCAACAATTAGTGCTCTGAAAGCGCTGATAACAGTATAGCATTTGTTATCTGAATGGAAGTAAACTTAGCCTACGTACTAGTTCACATTATAGTAGCAGGACTGAAAATAATGTTACCTGTTGAGTCCGAGATCTTGGACAAGACATACGGCCAAGGTTCCGGTCAAGGACCTTGCTGCGCCATGAGAGCACAAAACAGCAGCCTGATTTTTTTCAATTGAAAAAACGCAACCGCCGGTATAGATCTTCGTCCTTACAAAAGAGAGATAAGAGATGACTATCTCCAACAACATCACCTAATAGGCAAAGAGTTCAATACCTATTTTTGGTCTTCTCCAACAACAAGACTCAAAAGATAACCCTTTCTGCAAATGAGTCTCCAGAAGAGAGGATATTCATATTTGGGTTGTGCCTTTGTTGTGACTCAATGAGTCTCGCATATAGGTATTATGTTGAAGGCTGATATAGTACCATCCACGACCCATTTTGGGTTTAGGTCTCCATATGGATCATCCATCGGAGACAGTCTTAGACCCGTACTAAGCTCAAATGTTGAGCCCTAGGCAGTTTTTCACTAAGAAAAGAAAATAGAAAAATTGACATTCAAATTCAAGCCAAGAGAGAATTTGAAGCTAGGCTCACTTCCTGAGCCCCTTGAGTTTGCAACAACTTTCTCCTGTGTGACAGAGTAGTGCTCAACTTCTCATGCTCTTTCGTCAAAAAAAAAAAAAAATACAACACGCAGTTGAACTCGCATTTGATGTAAAGTGTTCATTAAGTCATTCTCAACAAAATTGGTGTCACCTGTTTGTACATTTTTTACATCACCACGCTCGCTTCCAAAGTAGCATAGCAAGTCAATATTGTGCAGTGTCACGCTGCAAGATGGGTATAGATACAAACTAATAATATCAATCTAATGGAAGATTACATGGTGAGAACGAATAAGCATAAACTATGTGATTGGTACTGAGACCTTATTTGGAATAAAACAAAAAAATGATGGCTATTATAGGATGATCTCCTCTTGGACACTGACATTGAGAGTTTTATTTGGGAGCACGATGCTGTTAACTACAACTACTTCATCTTCAACATCAACTGCTTCACCTGTGTTAAGATAGGATGTTAATTCCAGAAACGAAATTATCACAAAAAATTATGTGGGAAAGCAACAGCAAATCGTTAAGTTTGGGTCTTACCAAGAATAGTAATGCCAAGTTTGGCATTGTGATCACCTTCGCCCTGAATTCAGAACAAAAGTTTCATCACATGAAGCCAACTGATGTGCCAAGAAAAAAAGTAGACCATGCAGGCATGTACACAGTCGCACCAATTTTGACTGTCATAACTAAACTATTTGCAATCAAATCTCACTGTGGAATGTATTAGCTTTGCAATTGGAACTATCAAACGTTGTTTCAAGAATACTAGATGTGCTGAACCGTTCAGATTTCAGAAACATAACCTTGGCAGAGCAAGAATTAACACTGTAACACTAGGACATTCCTCATGCAATCATGCTGCTTGAACTGAACTTGACAAAGAGTCCTAAGGTGAAGTTTTTAATCTTCATATGGAATGAGAATTCATTAAATTTGAAATGAATAAAAATGAAATAGTAAAGAGAAAAGCTTGCCTGCACACGTGACCATTTTCCAATGGATGACTTCCACCCCACAATTGAATGTATAACAACGGCATTTTCCTGATACACAAATGAAAAAGAAAGAAATAATACAACAATGAGATATTCATGTTCCTAAATGAGGTTTATCACTTCATACAGAGATAGAGAAAACTAACCATAATTTCAACATCATCCAGAATTATGCAATTGATAAGCCTGGCACCAGCTCCAACGCGTGCATTTGCTGATATAGAGACATTGGGGCCAATCTGTTTATAGAGTTACATGATTAGTTACATTTTGTTTCTCAATAGATTCCCCTATTTAAAAGTTTTGAGCACTTCATTATCAGTCAACAACAACCAACTGAATATGATCCATCATAATCTGACCAAAATAGTTAGACGAAACAGACATTACCTTTGAAGTAGGATGCACCTTGGCAGATGGATGGATATACACATCGCCAACAATAGTGGCAGTTCTTTTGCCATCTCCTGAGGCTAAAAGATGAGGAGAGGTACGGCGGAACTGAGAAAGATATAACCCAGAGCATCTCAAAGACATCCTACTCAAGATGAAGCAATAGTTTGTCAGAAATTCCAATATATTACAAAAAACATGAAAAAATATCTGTATACCCTGGGGTTTTGATCTGTTCCCAAAAATCAAGCGTCTGGTATGTGTACAGCTCCTTCTTTCCTGCTCGAGGGGATAAAATGTCTTGATCTAACCTAACAAAGTCTGGTGGAAGCGCCCTGTTGATATTAAGCTTATAAGGTCTACATAATAATAAATACTTTGTAGTTGAATTAACAGAAGTGCTATCAATTATATACTGGCTAGTTTCTGGAAGAACCTCCACATAATGGTGAAGAGAAAGAGGTTAACTGCAGGCCAAACAAGATTTGTAAAAAAACATGAAGAATATAACACAAATACATACTTGGTTGCTGAATGAAGAGCTTCAAAGCTAGATACACGCTGCAAATTTGCTGAAAAGTAGCATTTAAAGGGATTAAACTTGTGCTGGTAAAATAAACTGTCAATCAAGGGAACTAGAAGATCGAGTTAGAATATCTGCTACAAGCAGGGGCGAAGCCACGTTTAAGTTCCCAGGTGCCATGGCACCATGGTAAAAATGTTTTTTACTACTTAGTAGACTCATATTTACTGTATATTATGGTAATATTGTATATGCTATTTAGACAGCGCACTAGGGTAAATTTTGCTTGTAGCTTCGCCTCTGGCTACAAGTAATACATTTTAGAGCATCCATTTCAGAATTAATATTAAGAATATGAATACAGGCAAAGCAAATAAAACTTTTCCAAGTGACTTGTATCAAAAGTAAAGAATGCATTTACATCTACTTAGTTAAGAGAAGTTGACATTTGAAGCAATAGAATAAACAAAGAATGTTTTGTTTTAAACAATAACACATGTTTCAAAGGAAAAACGTCGTAATATAACAGGGGACAATACCTCTGTCTTTTTTCTGTTTTAAGACATCCTCAATGGCGCTAAAGATATTGGGAGTAAATATATATACTCCACAATTTATGAGATCACTCACCTACAAATAGATAAACTGCATTACTGCTATCAGCTATGCAAATTACTCATTGAGAGCCATTACTTCTGAAAACTGCAATCGATTTCAGAGCCAAATATGGCATGCAAAGTCACAACTGAAAATATAGACGAGCAAATAAAGCAACAAAGAGCAGAACTGCACTCACAAAAGTCTCTGGCTTTTCCGTATAGTGCAGCAGTTCGTTTGTTTCAGGATCAGCTACCAACTCGCCAAACTGGTTCGCTGACTCTGCAGATACCTGATTGCAAGTATTAGCATATAGAATATTAAAGGTGGGATGATGTTAAGAGTAACAAATTATGCATGAGAAAGACAAGATTAATCTGCGAATAGTATTAGCATACCTTGTTGACTAGTAAAGTACCCATTCCTCCATACTTTTTATGGGCCTCTACAATGATGAAAACAGTGATACATTTAGCTGTTAGTATCCAACAAGAAGCTATGCAGATGGAGTTATTTAATATTTTACAACAAAAAGGTGCTTATTAAAAGTGTAGCACTTACTATTGTTGGGCAAGTTTGACTTAAATCTCCTATTTCTCTAATCAACAAAACTATAGGTGGAAAATCAAAAAAAGTTCAGATGCATATTGTGCAGCAATATAGAAAGGTAATGAAAAAAAAGGAATGACAAAGTATCTGGGAATAAACGGTTGATTTCTATCAATATTTCAAAAAATAACTCAGAAGCTAAAATATCTGTTTCATACTCTCAGTTATGTCAGAGATAGAAACCCAAGAATTTGGATGAATGGAGATGTAAAATCTACCCTTTTGTGAAAAAGAGCTTATTGTCCAATGATAAATTAAATCGGCACATCTAAATTATCCTTAAAACACTCTTTTGGAGTGAAGCGTCCATGTACAGAACACTTCAAATTGATAGAGACTTATTTACCATTGATTCACATAATGGTCGATCATTTCGTTGTTGCCTATGCACTATACTAACAATACTTTAAAGTATACACCCGTCACAGCACGAATTGAACAGCGTGTGATATAATTTTTAGTGACCTTATGTACAATACCGTACATTAGAGGCGGATGCATCTCTATAAGATTGAACCCATGAATATGACAAAAACAAGCTACTAATGACAAGCTCAGCTTTGGATTCAATACCAACCAACTACACTTCCATAATTCCATTCCACTTACTCTAACTAGTGATAAGTGGACACACTATCATTTGTTCTAAACAACAAAGCAAAGAACAACCTCATGATGTTCAATTATTACACTAGCCATGCTTGTGTCTAAGATCATGAAACACCATCACCAAACTGATAAATCGAACCAACAAGATAGAAGAGTATGCTTCAGTCACTTGGCAACCTACCCAGCATGTCTGGAAGGGGGAAGCTAGAACAGACGTCGCAGTTCAGCAGAACTATGTGTGACTGCAACACGGCAAGAAAAAACAGCAACGAACTTTTAGAGGATGAAACTTTATTGATCCAACCGACATAGCAAT